TCAATCCCACGTCCTTATGTCTGTGGGTCGAATTCCTTGCAATGTGTTGTGCTTGTTAAATGGAATGCACGCGCACCATGTCCAATTTGAACACGTTTGGCTAATGGGATTGGCTTGTTTTCCAATCATTACTGTGTGTTTATGAGCACCACTGCTTCTCTGATCTCTAGTGCTGTTTGTGGTAGGGACTTAGAAAGGTCATCATTTGTTGTTTGTTTTTCCTAAACCATCATCATATTTCGTTGAACCTAAACTTAGTCGGAGAAGCAAATAATTCCATTACACGTCGAAAGTTTTTGGTGGTGGGGACTTTGTTAGGTTCTTTTCTCCCTACTTCATCTCATTATTGCATTTAACTGCACTTAGTCGAAGAAGGAGATCATTGCAATTTTTTTAGATGACATTTCGATTGTTTTATAGCCACAAATCCTTATCCAACATTTCTTCCAATTTGTGGTCAATTTCTCTACCACATTCTTCTCTTTGGGCCGGGGAGGAATTAATTGTAACTTTCTTTTTAATTAAAAATAGAAATTCATTTAAAAAATTACGATTCATACTTAATCCAAATAGGGTAATAAACAAGAGCAATTAGTATAGCTTTAAATTCATAACAAAAGTGAAATTAGGACAATGGTAGGAGGGAAAGACAAACTTGGTCTGCATAAGTCAGTTAAAACTCCAAACATTAATTACATAACACTCTAAAAACATGCTCTTTGGCCATGTTACATGTCCCATCTTCACGGATCAAGGGAAATTTGAGAAAATAAGCCTCAAAATGTTTAACATTATTGTTTATAACATTTTGAAGATTATTATTGTAGCAGCTATAGCCACTAGCAAAGGAAGGTCCGTAAAACAATTGATCAAATTATTGACATAAATGCACTTCTTTACAATATGATTAAGATTCGAACTCTTATTTCCCCTCTTTAGCTTTCTTCTCATGAGAATTACAGCCATTTAATTTGTCTCATCAAAAAAGCTATATCTGCCTGGCGTGCAGTTCGGATGGGTCCTACAACTTTCCCTTCATTGTCTCCGGTGCCCTTTGCATCGTCATGACCGTGTTTTTCGTCGGTTTTGCTAAAGATATATAGGGTACCGGCATGGCGATTCCTCGGATAAGCCCACAAAGCGCAGGGCTCTGGTCTTATTTGTCTTGGGCTTCTGGTTTCTCGATGAGACCGAAAACATGCTCTAAGGCCAATGCCGCCAGTTTTTTCCCCAAAGCTCCAGAAAATCTTTCCTTTCACAGAAACAAAAGCCTGCAACGTCTACTGCATGGGCCAATCTCAAATCCTGCTTTCCTAATCGACGTTATAATCCTCGGTTTCTCGTCATCATCGCCATTACCACCGTCGGCGAGAAATGATTCACCAGGGATGACATAGACAACGTCCCCAAATGGCAAAAATCGGCGATCCTTTCTTCAGTGAAGTTGCGGCTGCGTTCAAGAACTTGAAGAAGCCGATGTGGTCCGGGTTGCTCTTGAAATGAATGGGGTGGCATTGATTATTAGTGCCAAACTTCATCTTTCTCTCTGCTTAACTTCTTCCATCGTAGTTGGAACTAAAACTTTTCCCTTTAAATTTTGCTTTGATAATTGTCAAATGCAATTTATGAGTCTATGTGCTGAGGCTGTTCCTCAGTGCAAATGTACATATGTATATAAGCCCATTTTTCATGCAAATGGTACATGTTGTATAGTATGGTGGAGATAATTTCAATTTAACAACTTCATTCTTTCAACTCGAAACTTTATGTCAAATTCTCACTTTCATTCATAGTGACATGTCTTACATGGGATGATTCATGGAAGAATATTGTTAAACTAAGAGTATCTTATATGAGATTTTATGAATTGTTACATGAGATTAGTGTTTATTAATTAAACATGTAAAAAAAATTAAGTCAAAAAATATTAAAAATTATGTTGTTTTAAAAAAATATTATGAAAAAATACGAAAATAGTCTCATGCATGATTTAACAATTAGGATATTTAATCTCTTTTAATAAAAATTTATTAAAGGACCATGATTGGTGCACACCCAGATTCAACACCCAGGCGTGCACACTCCACATAAAAAAAAAAATGGACCGAGTCTTCTTCATTTTTTTTTTTTATGCGAAATATGCACACCCGAGTGTTGAATCTGGGTGTACATACATCATTTTCATTTATTAAAATAACAAAATCTTAAGAATTTTTTCTTAACTCTTTTACAAGTATGGCCAATAAACATTTCTCCTTATCACATTATGTCAGCATGGATTTAACAACGCACCAATATATGGAAGATAGTGCACATGTCATTCACCATCTACTTTGGACCGATTCCTGCAAGTTGAGGGGCTTTTTTTACAGTAAAAGAAAACTACAAAAAATCAAGGAATCAAGGAATCAATTGTGACAGTAAGAAAAAAATTTGAGGACATGCTTGAGGGTTTGCACCCTCTTAAATTACAATGTGATTATATATTTATTGTGAGCTTTTTTTACTACTGGATGGCCTTGAGGCTCGGCGGTATTCTAATTTTCTGATTAAAGGTTTATTGAGCTTGCACTGCTAGTTTGATCTTAATTATTAGTCGAATACGTTCAATTCATCCGACTTAATTAACGGTTCTTTTATAATTAATAAAATAATATATATCAAGTTTAGATTTTCAATTTTTTTGGGTACTTGACCAATTTTAAAGGCCCAAAAAGAAAAAAAAATGAAAAGTTTAAGTTAAACAGCTGGAATAAGTTATTGATCATATGCATCAATAAAGTAAATACCATATATATACATATATATATATATATATATGCATACATGTATAACTTCGGCATAGAGAATATGAAAGAGAATGCATAGAAGTGCATTCAACCCTTATGAAGGCCAAAGTAAAAGAGAAGAGGAAAAGAAGTTTAAAGACCACGGTGGTTAAAGACAAAAAGCAAAAGCAAGGTAGTTAAGCAAAGTAGAAGAAGAAAGCCTTTGGCTCAGTGCCCACCACTCATTCCAGGAGCAAGAGAAACTTGCTTGGGAGGCTTTGGAAGCAAAAAAATCGCCATCAATGCACTAAATGCAGCTGCAATCGAACCTAACACGAAGGCTGGCAAGTTACCACCACCAAATGCTCCATCCAGCGGCCCACTGATTACCGAAATAAACATCTGGAATACACGTAACACAAATTAACAAGCCAGGTAATAATACATTCTCTAATAGTGCATGTGTCATATGCATATACCACACGCGCGGGCACACACATGTAGTGATTTTCTCATATAGGGAAAATGAAAGATACCGAACACAGAAACTTCTTTTTCATCATGATTTTTTTTGGATATGATGGACCCTTTACCTGTGGAATAACAATGGACAAGTTTAGCACTCCCAGGGAGAGCCCTTGACCTCCCCCAGTTGTCGAGCAATAGATTGATGCCAAAGCAAAAGGGATAGTATATGTCACCTACAGAAAACAACACCCCCAACATATTATTATTTTTTGGTCATCCTTCTTATAAACATAATTTTTTATATGTTTAAACTTTAAACAAATGTTATGTGATCTAAACTATAATTTAAATTATTGAATGGAAAGCGAATTCTTGATTTACAAACTATTTTTATCTAACTAGACTTCATGTTTTATTATGGAAATTTAAATTCACCAGAAGATTTTATTTTCAAGTAGGATTTGTTATGTGTGCACAAATAAATAAGTGTGAATCTTAATTATATGAATAAAATTAAGGAATTCTTGCTTTACATACAAGAATATATATTAAAAGTATAATTTGACATATAAAATGATTAGAATACTTTTGGTCAAATAGTATAAAAAATAACTTTATTAAAAATATTTTAATATTATAAGTCAAATTATAATTTTAAACTATAATTTTAATGCACAACAGCTTGACATGTAAATCATTTTGTTTTTTAAATGAGGTTTAATTCAATGATTGGTTTATTAATTATTAGCTTAATTTTATTTTAATCTAGAATGTTAGTTTTCTTTTTAAATAATTTATAAATTTTGTAAAATATTTTAGAATAATATACTGTACAAAATTT